TTTTTTTCCTCAAAACCTTATCATTCCTGTATTCCTTTTAATTTTCCTTCTTTTGCATACCCTACCAAATTATCCACCAACCTCTGCATCTCAGTTTTATAAAGTTTTTCTTCTTCTCTTTTTTAGTAAATGTCTACAGGAGAAGGGGTTACTAGCCATCGCTCCGGCATTTTAGTCGCCTCATATGACATGCATGGTTTACGGAGGAAAGATTCTTTTCCACTTCCCATGGACAATAGAGGAAATAAAGAAGAACAAGAGCTATTTAGAAAAAGGAGAAAAACCTAGATGTATGCATATATATATGCATGTGCGTGTCTGTGAAGTGTGACCAAAGTGTAAGTAGGAGTAGCAAGATATCCCTGTTATCTAGCATGTTTATGAGACAGAAAAAGACACCAGCAATCCTACCATCATGCAAAACAGTTACAGGTTTCTGTTTCACAGTCATCTGGCAGGACAGTAGTACTTCCCTGGGTGGTTGCTGTCTACCAACATACTACCTATATATAAATATGAGTTAAGAAATTACTATAGAAAGTTCAGAAGTGTTTGTGGCATCATACCTTCACTGAGGTGTAGACAGTGTTGACATCTGGGAAAAGTTCCTGACACTTCTGGATCCAATCTTCAACCTCCAAGTTGCAGTGATCAGCTTCATCAATGGTTGTGACGACCTCCTGTACAGTGTTGACTGTGTTGATGCACTCCAGCATGGTCTGCAGCTGCTTCTTTCCTGCCTCTCCTTCTGTTGTCATATTCACCACACTGGTATCCTCTTGTTCCAGGAGCTCTATTGCTGCCTTGTTCTGCTGCAGTAGATCACAGAGTCTGCTGTGCAGCTGGTGGTGCTGGGTCTTCCAGTCCTCACCTGCCCCTGGTACTTGCCCAGTGGGACAGTGCTTCTTCGCACTCACTTATAAGGCTACTGATACTGCTCTTGTGTTCCTGTACCAAACACCATAGCTTCTTGCTGATGCCTCTTGTGCGGTTTTGACCAGGTTTAGCAGGCACTGCTCCCACTGGTGTGACTTGGATATCTTTGAGATTCTTTATGACATCTTCCATACCAAAGTTGACGGGGAATCGAGTAGCAGTTGTAGCACTGTGCTCAGCACGGCAGCTAGGGCAGATGAGTTTAACATTCTTTATTGTATCTTCAATACACTGTGAGCAGAATGTGTGGCCACACGGCAGTGATCGTGGCCGTCGTAGATCTTCATCATAATTATTGAAACACACTTTACACTCTGGCTTGCTGCTAGCCTGTGAAAATAACTTTTGTTAAAATATACACTAAATCTTTTGAATTCTCATTATCATAGTTATATACATTAGCTATTTATAATTAACCTACAACACACTGGATAAAACGTTACACATACAAAAACATTAAACAGTACAGTAAAGCAAAGTATCACTTTAACCCTTTGACTGACACAACCCCAAATCCTGAAGTGTCTACTGGTGTCAAAGAAATAAAAAAAAAAAAAATTTTTATGAAAATGTTAAGATTAATTTTCTGATTGTTTTAAGCCCCCCGCCCCCCCAAAAAAAAATTGCAATCAGAATTTATTGAGATATAGAGGCATAAAGTTGGCAGAAAATGAGCCGTGTATGGCAACAGTGGTGAATGCCACTCACCTGGTAAACTTTGGTTTACTTGCATTCCAAGGTTTCTTGTTTTTTCACTATTTTATTTTTTCATGTAACTTAGGTGGCCTGTGAGTCCAAAGTAAGGTGCAATGTACATATAAACACTAGTTGTATACAACACAATAAGCGCACAAACGTAATTATCAATATATTGTTTAAAAAACTTTACACAAACAATACAAAAAATTTTTTTTACTATTGTTCTATAATATACAGTGGACCCTCGACCAACAATGGCATCGTATAACGTTAAATCTGACTAGCGATACATTTTAATGCAAAAATTTTGCCTCGACTAGTGCTAAAAAACTCGACCAACGTATCATTTGTTCTGTTCGAGAAGTGTCCACTTGCGGCCTGAGCACACCTCACTTGTCCCGTGGGTGCCAGTGTTTACAAGCAGCCAGCCACTGCGGGCGCATCCAAACATACAATCGGAACATTTCATATTATCACAGCATTTTAAGTTTGTACCTGCAAAATAAGTCACCATGGGCCCCAAGAAAGCTTCTAGTGCCAACCCTGTGGTAAAAAGGGTGAGAAATACTATCGTACCACAGTCAGCTGCTGCTGCACCACGGTCAGCTGTTGCTGGACCAGTCAGCTGTTGCTGCACCACGGTCAGCTGTTGCTGGACCAGTCAGCTGTTGGCTGCACACCAGGTCAGCTGTTGCTGCATGGTCAGCTGTTGCTGGACCAGTCAGCTGTTGCTGCACCACAGTCAGCTGTTGCTGGTTCAGTCAGCTGTTGCTGCACCACGGTCAGCTGTTGCTGGACCAGTCAGCTGTTGCTGCACCACAGTCAGCTGTTGCTGGACCAGTCAGCTGTTGCTGCACCACGGTCAGCTGTTGCTGACCAGTCAGCTATTGCTGGACAGTCAGCTATTGCTGCCACGTAGCTGTTGCTGGACAGTCAGCTGTTGCTGTTCAGTCAGCTGTTGCTGCACCACGGTCAGCTGTTGCTGGACCAGTCAGCTGTTGCTGCACCACGGTTTCTATAATATATATACACATATATAGTCACTAGATACTTTCATATAACTGCTATTATCTTCATTCATCAAGCTTGTCTTGTGTGCGAGTGTGTGGCTTATAATTGTTTTGAGTCAGGAGTCGGCAGCTGTCAAAATGACACATTATCTCATTACTCACTCCCCCTACCACCTGTCAAAACAATGGGGTTGGATGCTGCTTCCCCTCCATTCTATCTAATTATCTTTCTCCTTCATTCTATCTCTTTCAATCTGTCTCTCTCTTTCTATCTGTCTATCTCTGTCTCACAGGTATACAGAAATACAAGTATACATAGGGTAAATTGCCTAGGATAACCCAAAAAATCCAGACAAAGTGCTATACAGTGGACCCCCGCATAACGATTACCTCCGAATGCGACCAATTATGTAAGTGTATTTATGTAAGTGCGTTTGTACGTGTATGTTTGGGGGTCTGAAATGGACTAATCTACTTCACAATATTTCTTATGGGAAAAAATTCGGTCAGTACTGGCACCTGAACATACTTCTGGAGTGAAAAAATATCGTTAACCGGGGGTCAACTGTACTCTACTTGAAGATGTGAGTAAAGGTCATGATGACACAGTCTTGTGGCTCTCTCTGAGACAGAGAGCTAGACAGATAGACAGGGAGCTTGACAGACAAATAGACAGACATAAATGTTTGTGTACCAGCAAAAACAAAGGAAGGGCAATGTCATCTAATTTTTTTTCAGCTGCACCCCCCCCAAATCCTTTCGCTTTTAAAACGTCGCTCTTATCAGATGTGTCCCCCTTATTTGCCACTGTTAAGGGGTGGATTTTTTTTTCTTGCTTACTTTTTTTTCCTTTTTCTCCTCTTCCTCTTCCTCCCCCTTTCCCTCCTCCCTTTTTTTCCCTCCTCTCCTCTTTCCTTTTTCCTTTTTTCTCTCCTCCTCTTTTCTTTTTCCCTTTTCCCTCCTCCCCCCTCCTCCAATGTTTTGGTCTAAAACTCCTCAAAAATCTGAAATGATTTCACTGACATTCCATCTGTGTTAGAGCACGCTTGGGAAGAGAAGAGCCCCGATCTTGGGGAGCATATTTCTTACCATAAGCATGCTGAAAAAAAGGACGACTGAATGGCCATTCCCCAAAATGAAAGTAACGCCTTTATCCCCAAGATCCCCAAGCCAGCACTATCCTAACCAATGCTAAAGTCTATCTACTTAATTAAAAATTTAGGTCCTTAAGAAAACACTATGATGACCTCCTGGCACCCTTGAACACTAAAGACCCCCTTCCCCTGCTTATTCTTACTGAGCCCTGGTTAAGCAGGACACAATAGTATCTACCTCTCCACGAACCAGCATCCCAAACTGCAGCCCATACAAGTTGGGGGTGGTTTGCAATCTTTTACTTAACCTTTTTTGTTTGCACCACTTGCTTTAGTGATGAATAGGAGAATCATTTTTGAAATTTTACTGTAAAAAACCTTAAGACGCCTATAACAATCGGTGCCATTACCGGTCCCCCAAACAAAAAATCCAAATTTCAGTGAGAAATTAAAGGCACAAATAACAAACAGACAAAAAAATAAGCACCACCTTCTCTTAGCTGGAGACTTAACATCAACCTTGGCCTATAGATGATCAGCCTGTAATGTTTTCATCAAAAAAATATGAACAACACACTTCTCATATAAAAATAACAAAACCAACCAGGCCACTAAAACAATTGAACCTTTAATAGACCAAGGGGCCCAATATACTACCCCCCCTTAAAAATCGGGTAATCACAATAGCCTACAGCCCTACCCCCCTTTCCCTCTTGACAAACTTAAAAAAACCCATTGAATACAACAAAGTTTCTTTTAAACCCCATGATGGGCCTCAAAAAGGGAAAGGTCACAGCTGCCTAGAGGGACTGTTGACGGGCCCTCGAATTCTCCAAGGCCCATGGTTTTGTGATGGACAGACATTTTTTTTAAACAAATTATTTAGCTATACAAACCAAACATTGTCCTATAAAAACAAAAAGATCACAAACAAAGGCTTGGTTGCCCATGGCAAACCCAGCACCATTCTGAAATCATTGAAAAAGAAACACCAATTAAAAAAGAATATAGACAGGGTTAATCACAAAGCATTCTTAAACACTTTCATCAGTCCTCCCAAAAGTAAAAAAGAAACCCAAAAACTATACTACCCCGTAGATTCATGACACAAGAGGAGATATAAAAAGACTGGAAAACACTCTCTCAGTTCTAGGGCCCCACAAACTAAAAAAAAAACAAGAATATTCCCCTAATAAACCTAATGAAAACCACTGCTCCATCACGCTAAAAAGATAAACGACTTCTTCTCAAACCATAGGTTAAAAATTGCCAAAAAAATCACACGTTCAATCCCCCATGCGGGGATCCCTGAGGGGGAATTACAAATTCCCTTTTTATCTTGCCCCAACTGAGCCATGGAAGTCACGAGATTTATGTCATTTAAAAATAATCGGGAAATCTGTCTCATGTCCCCCTTATTGTAAAAGGGAGAGCGGCCATGCCCTCTGCATGCTTTTTCATTATTTTTTAACAAGTCACTAGAAACTGCACCTTCCGAAACTATCAAGATGGCAAGGGTTCACCAATACTAAAGGTGGTGACTACGATTTTAAAAACTATGGCCAATACAAACTTACCATTGTACCAAAATCTTTGAGAAACCCGTGCACGGGAGACTATATTTTTTTAAAAGGGCCAAACATACTCAACCCCTCCCAATTGGATTCGGAAAAAAAAGCACTAACGATGCAATTTAAAAATGCTAGATCTGCTTTACAAGCATTGGAAAATAAAGGGAAAACCACTAGGGAAATTTTTCTGCCTAAAAAAAGCTTTTGCCAGTAGCCATGGCATCCTATACAAAATTGCCATTTTGGTATAAAAGGCCATGCGCTTCCTATTTCAAATCTTGCCTTACTAAAAGGTATCGTATGTCACCATTGAAGGGGCACGCATCAAAACACAGCCAATTGATACTGGGTTCGAGGGAAAGTGTCCTTGGTCCCCTCTCTTCCCCATATCATAATGATTTAAAAGTTATTTTTAAATAAACAAAAGGCACAATTTTCCGTAGGAAAGATACCAAAAAACCCCCAATAAAAGAGAGAGCTTAGCGGAGTTTCGGCCGACTTTTGGGCCATTGACCAAGTACATGACTTTGTGACTTTTCAATGGTCCAAGTCGGACCGAAATCGTGTAAGTTCTCTCTTTTATGTGCGGGTTATTTTTTGGGAAAAGTATCTCAACACCTTTAACCCCTTTTTTTGCTGACGACACGATTATGTATCTCCCCCTATCTTGCCACCCTCAACCCTTGTTAAAGAGGGTGATCAAAATTCGACTTGGAGGCCAAAAAACTTCGCTTAACACTGACAAAACCCACTACATTATGTTTGGTAGCGAGCAGGAGTGGCAAATTAAAATTTAAAAAGACAAAACTCTAATTGCCAGGCATAATGGGGCAAATTCCTAGGCCCATACCCGACAAACAACCCGAACTTCGCACCCCTATTCAAAAATAACCCAAAAAAAGTATCCAAAAAAGGTTGGGGGTCCTCTCCCAAAATACAATACTACGTGCCGCAAA